GTGTCTGTTAGGCTTATCTCTGGGTGGCTCAGTGGTAAAGAATCTACCTGTGATGCAGGAGACGTGGGTTCAATTCCTGGGTCCAGAAGATCCCCGGGAGGAGGGCATAGGAACCCACTCCAGTATTCTTGCCTGGAGAATCCCATGGACAGAGGAGCCTGGCAGCCTACAGTCCATAGGATCGCAAAGAGTTGGACACAACTGAAGCGACTGAGCACACCTACAGGCTTATCTCTAAAAAGTTACATTTTCCCCTTTGTAATCAATGAATAATTTATAGAGAGATAATTTGAAATTATTAAAATCCTATTTCTCATCCCATTTTTACCCCATTAGATTTAGCATCAAATGATGTTTCTACCTAAAATTATTAACTATAATTGTTGTCAAAAGACAAGTTTTTTTTACCTTTGTTAGTCAGCATTGTGCTATAAGAACCTTCCACTTATCTATCCACTTGTTTGTTTATATCAGTGTGGACTTATGAACTCTTATTTTATTTAAAGGGTCTAATGCATTTCTGGAGCTTTGCTGGTGGCTCAGTGGTAAAGAATCTGTCTTCCAGTATAGGAGACCTGGGTTCAATCCCTGGATCAGGAAGATCCCCTGGAGAAGGAAATGGCAACCCACTCCAGTATTCTTGCCTGGGAAACCCCATGGACAGAAAAGCCTGGCAGAAGTCGCAAAAGAGTTGGACATGATTTAGTGACTAAACAACAACAACAATGCATTGCTATCATTGTTTATTTTGATCCTTATATCATCCCAATATTGTCCTAGGCACCCCTGCAATCTGGTTTCTGTATATTCTTAACATCTTCTTTTCATTTATTGAGCACTTCCATATTTTCTAGCACAAAATGTTTCAGGCTTATCTTGTTCTTTACCTGCCCCAGCCTTGTAAGCCATTTTCTCCAAGGACCCTTGGCTCCTTCAGTGAAGAAGGTATTTAGAAACCAAGATCGGGGCTCTGTTCACTGATTGCACTGGGGTATCAGTTCTCCCTGGCCCTTTCAGTGGATCAAACTAAGAAATATGTGTATGTGTGTATACACATTTATATCCACATATATATATGTACAGATTGAAAACCACGAGTTCACTCCAATGCCTCCCATTCCAATCCAATACCATAGGGTTTATTTCAGTTCCCACTCCCCTGGCATATTTGTATCTCCCTCCACTATCAGTGAGAATCTTGTCTCCCCTTGGCTTCTGCACGTCAATTTCTTTGCTCAATTGCCCTATGTAATCAATTTTCCAGTTCCCAGAGGGCCAGTCGAAACACTTCATGAAACCACCAACCCCTGCTGGCTGTTCTCTCCACACATCAACATCCTCCCTGTGGCCCAGCTGCTGCCCCGCTACCTTCACTTCAGTCTACCTTTCACCTGCTACCATCTTCCTCTGGGAAACTCTTCTTACCAATCCTTGAACTCATAAAGCACTCAAACCGTGGTGCTTTCATCAGTTTATTCAATTCTGTTCCTCACTGACAATCACAGCAGAATGAGTTGTTTTGTTTTATTTTTGCCACATTCCCGGGACTTAGTGCTGAAGTATATATATTTGAAAATTAGTATTTATAGTTAAGAGAGAGCATTTGCTTCTTGCTCTTAGTTTTTAAAATGAACCATCAGCAGCCCAGTGTGGCCACTTACTAAGAACTGCCTGATTGGAGCTCTTTGCAGTTCTGCTTAAAAACTAATTAATTTACTAATTAACTTGTACCCTTCTCTCTTGATCTTTTTTCTCAGCAGGTGTTTTCTCCCATTGAAGACCCATCTATGGAAAAAAGGCTCTGCCTTTGATTTAAAGGCAAAGATGCTATTGATTTGCTTCATTCATTCATTGATGCACTCATTCATTCCCCAAATAGTAACATGTATTTGGGAGTATTTATTTGATAGTAATATGGGCTTCCCTACTCAAGCAGCTCTGTGTTTCTTGTTTTTCATTCTGCGCTGGCCTCTATTTACTGCTTGGCTGATTCAGGCTATCAGGGTGTGTGAAGCAGGGAGAGTAAAGGAAATGAGTCCTTGTGAGATGACCAGTCCCCTCGAGACAGGGAGGAACGACCCCATCAGAGCCACCTTCCCTGCCCCTTGGGTTGTCAGCTCCTCACAGCACACCAAGCACCAAGTCAGAATCTCAGAGAACCCATCAAAAACAGGGAGTTTTTGGAAACTCCCTGGAAATGGGTTATTTCCATTCTGGCTTCTGGGGAGCTTCAGGAGGGGTGACAGGGGAAGAAAAGGTGAGCACAAGCCCCCACCTACTCAGGACTGCTGAAACAGCTCCAGGCCTCGGGCCTTTCTCCCCATTTCCACCGCTTCCTCTCATAAACGCCTCTCCTAGGGCCCAAAGAACTACGGAGGAGCATCCTACCCTGCACATCCTGAGACCCAGGAGCAAGCTGGAGGCCAAGCTTGTCTGCATTGTGGTCATGGGTTCTCACATGGCTGAGGGAAGGCCCACACAGGGCGTGGGCTGCAGCTGAAGTCACCTTGAGCGACTGTGATGCTATCTAAGCCTAACGGTTTCCTTTGGCAGGCACTTCCGCCCTTCTGTTTGTGAACCAGAAACCTGTGCTGGGACAGCCCCATTCTGAGCAGAAAGGAGGACTAGACGGAGGCAGAAAAGAAAAGGCCCTATGAATCAGAGTTAGAAAATAAGAGAAGAGACTCTGCTCCCATCACCAACTCAGTCCTGCACATTTAAAAAAAAGAAAAGGGGAAAAAAATTATATGCACAAGTATAGACTGCAAGGTACCAAGAAACTCCTTTCTTGCTGACAACTCTGCTCTTGAACTCTCACTTCTGCAGCTGTGTGGCTGGCATGGAAAAAGACTGACCATTAATTCCTGGGGGTAGAATCCCATTCACTGGGCTTTAGAATGCCTGGGAATAAAAGAAATATTGGGTCCCTATTTATTTGAGCTTGTACATGAGGCTAAGCATTATAAAAGTAGTTACTCAAAAAAAAAAAAAAAGATGTAGCTACTTTTTTCAAAGTGCCTACTGAACTATACAGGTGAGGCAAATGAGGATCAGACTAGGTAAGTGACTTGTCTTGGAAAACACAGCTATTAATTATCAGAGCAGGAATTCAACCTTCAATCTGCTTCTGAAATAAAGGTTAGGCTAAGTTAAATGAACTAGAAAACACTCTGGCATTAGGGCTATCAGTGTTTCCGAAAGGCAAGTCTTAGAGGACTCTATAGGGAAGAGGCCATGTTTCTAAGTGAAGTGAAGTGAAGTTGCTCAGTCATGTCCGACTCTTTGCGACCCCATGGACTGCAGCCCACCAGGCCCCTCGGTCTATGGGATTGTCCAGACATGAATACTGGAGTGGGTTGCCATTTCCTTCTCCAGGGGATCTTCCCAACCCAGGGATCGAACCCAGGTCTCCCGCATTGTAGGCAGACACTTTACGGTCTGAGCTACCAGGGAAGCCCAAGGCTTCCAAGGCTGGTACCCAAAGCAACAATCTTAAGTGCCTGAAAGTCTGCAGGGAGTGTTGGGATAAAGAGCAGAATTAGGGCAGTTCTTTGTAGTGTGAGCACATTCTCAACTGGATTCTTTTACCCATTTTCCCACATATCTGTCTTCACAGTGCTCATGATTACCTGTCCCACTGTCTCTTTCCCAGGGTGAGCTGGGTGAGGGTTTGGGGTGGGCTGGGGCCCAAGGACACTGCAGAAAGACACAGAGGCATCCCTGTGGGCCAATCCTCGTCACACTCACAGGTCTCGGAAGGCTCCCCCTTTTCTTCTCTGGGAGGGGTCCAGACCCAGAAGGGGCACCTAGCGCTGGTGACCAGGGTGTAAACTGGCAGCAGAGAGAGAAGCTGCTCCAGATTCCAGGTCCCCTGCCCCTCCCTTGCAGCTTTGCTTTCTTCAGCCTCTTTGCTGCTCAGGGAGCTGGGATGGCCCTGGGGAGGGTTGCTATGTTGGGCCTATGGGAATCGGATGTTCGGGATCTTGCCCTTTGCTCTTAGAGTACACTTAGGAACAGCAAAAAAGGCCCTTTAGCAACAAGCAGTTTGTGGGAGATGAAATTCCACAAATCCAAATGCATCAATCCAACGGGGAGAGAAAAGGACAGATTGCTACAGGGAGCTTGGAAAACTTTGCTTGGATTCCTTTCCTCCTCCTCCTCTACCTGATACACAGATGAGAGATGGATCGGTTGATAGTGGTCTCCTGAAACTGTGAGACTGAAGGTGGAGAGGAAGAGAGATGGCAGAGGGGGAGGTACTTGCGTTTGCAACACCAGGCTCCGAAGGCACTGCTGAACAGTCTCCGAGGGGCGGGGAGGAGGGGAGTGGGAGAGCCTTTTACCCTCAGGGAGGGGCCTCATTCTCCGCCCAGGAGCGCTGGGAAAACCAGGTATCCGGCGAATGCAATTACTTTTTAAATGAGCAGAGACGGGGGTAGAGATGTATATAAAAGAAGTAAATAGAAAAGAGGGGAGATGAAAAGAATGGAAGGACCACTGAAACCTTTAGGGCAAGCGGAAAGAAAGAAGAGATGTTAAAGGGGGGAGAGGTTGAGGACTGACAGTGAGCAAAGACCAGGGTCCTGGAGGAACTTCACGAGGAAGAGGGGCCAAACGACTGTCCCATCCCCCTGTTTGGGCAGATTAGTGGAGTCGTGGCTCCCTCGCTTGAGTCCTGCCCCGGGAGGGGACAGTGTCTGTTTAGATTTGTGTCTAAATTTAAACCCTGATCGCTGGCCTCCTTCCCCAGCTCCCCACCCTCCCCGCCTCCTCTCTCCCCCCTCCCCTCCCACCTCCTCCTCCTTCCTAGTCGTCTAGCGCGGGGCTGGGGCGGCCAGCAGTCAGTCCTGCAGCCAGCGAGCCGGGCGCGCGGCCGCTCACTTGCGCTGTGCCCGCCGGAGCCGAACCCGGTGCAGGCGGGAGCAGAGCGCTGAGCGGGGATCCAGAGCCCTTGACAGAGCGAACGCGCGCCGTCGGCGCGGAGTCGGCGCCTGAAGGACATGGAGGTAAGGGATCCCGTGGCGCGCGAGCAGGGTCCGAGCAGGAGCACGAGCGAGGCTCAGCGCTGCGGCACTCCGGAGGCCAGCCCTGGCCCTTCCTAGGGGACCCCTCCCGGCAGGCAGGGAGTGGGCCGGGAAGACCTCAGGGAGAGGGGAAGGGCCTTTCTAGAGGTTCAGCTATTTTGCTTAGGGACTTAACATGCTTCAGGGGGGGAAAAAAAGTTAGGTGCTGTAAACTTTGTAAGTGGACAAATGTGTGAGCAAAACCTCTTTAGAAATCAGAAGCCGCAGGATCTGAAGAGATGAATATTGAAAGAGAAACAGAGCTGTTACCCTGAGGCACAGCTAGTCTATGCGCTTCCCTTTTCGATGCAAATTGAACTTTTAAAAGTCCAGTCGCCCTCTTGCTTCTCAAGTCCCACTTTTGTCTGTCACATTTTTCAGAACTTTCTGGAAAGCTCCCCTCATGGGCAAATGGCACTATTTCTGATCAAACTTGAGACTTTCCTGTATGTCCCTGCATGCACTGGGGTGTGCTGGCTACATGTCTGTGGGGGGCTCCAGGGTGAGGCCCACCACTGCTCTGCCTGGGGTTTTCCTGGGACAGTTCCAGCCAGTGGGAGCCAGGAACCACCCTCCAGTGGAGGAGTGGCCGGTGTATTCCCCTCCTCACTGCCTTTTCCATATTTTGAGGCTCCCATAGATTCTCCCCTTGAAATAGACCTGACATTTAGCCCTAAGCCTGTTTCAGCTAGATTTAGGCTTGCTTTTAAAAAAGAAGAAAAGCAAAGGTGATTTCCACCGTTTTCAAAAGCTGAACTGCTACTCCCAGTGCTGCCGTCAGCACTCTCCAGACTCACGTTCCTGCTAACTCTTGCCCGCTGCTGCTCCACACCAGAGCTCAGGCTGGCTCTTCTAAGCAATCCTCTGTCTGCAAAGCGCTGGGACTTCTCTGTGTGGGCAATAGGTCTGTCCTGGGCAGTTGAAGTCAAGTGTCCAGCTCTATCCATTGTCTTCAGAGAGTCTTTGTAAAGTACAGGTGCCCGTGGGATCCACCGGAGCCTAAGATGGACCCTCTGGAAACATCTGTAAGCTGGGGAAACTCTGGGCAGATTAGGGCTGGGAAAGGGTGGAAGGGAAGCCCAGCAGTGGGTGTTCACCAGTCTACTCAAAGATAGCCGAGGGCAACGAGATTTTTTCTGGTTGCAGCTTCAGAACCAAGAAAGGAGATAGCTCTGGGAATGCCCATACGAACAAAGAAGTTTCCCAAGAAGGTGCTTTAAGAGTTGGTTTCCTCTTCTGACAGTACAGGGTGCCTCAGGCCTTAGCTGGAGGTGCAGTGTAATTCAGGACCTCTTTAATCTCTTGCGGAAATGGACGGGAGGTGAGAGCAAAGCGAGTCTTAGGCTTAGAAGCAAATTGCTTACTGTTGGAGGGCCAGATTTGTTCTCAGAAGACACGGGGGATCCTCTCACAGGCCCTTGCTGCTTCAGTTGAGGAAGGAGCAGCGTGTGGCAGAGGCCCTGCAGCTCGCCGGAGCAGCTTCCCGTGTGGAAGCAAGAAGAGAGGGGGTGAAAAGAGAAGTGAGTGGTGAAAAGAGAAGATCCTCCAATGTGAACAGAAGCATGTCGGTTCACACTGAGTCTGTCCAGGGCGTGGATTAGCTGGTTGGCAGTGGCAGCTTTTGAAGTTCTCTTGTCAAAATGCCTGAAAAAAGCACTCCAACAGCTAAAGAGGAAACCAAGAGGCTAGAGACGTGACATTTCTTAGCCAGGAAGTAAACTTTTTCATGGTGGGACATGATATGCAGGAGTGCAATTTGGGAATTTCTGAAAAATCTCTGGGTAAAACTCTTTTGAGAGGTGAAACCCACTTTTGAGACATGCCACTATATTTGATGAGAAATGGAGCTACATTACTTCCCAGTACTAGTAATTTATAACCAGACCAAGAAGACTTACTCGACGTTCATTCTCTAGGACCCATTTAACTTTTGGAAGTCTTTGGGGAATCTTTTTTTTTTAAGTTACTTTACTGTTATCAACAATATCAATCATTACTTCAGCCCTCTTTAAGCCTTCTGGAATAAACAAGATAGATGTCTTTTAAAAGCTCACAATCCAATAGGGAAAATAAGACTAACTTGTCATGTGCATAATTTTCAAATGCATAAGTGCCTTAAGGTATGGCATTTGCAGACCCTAAATTTTATAGTATTTCAGTATTTCTTACGTTTCTGTGTAAGACTCAAAAGAAGTCTTAAAAGAAGGGTGGGTGGTGAGGAGGAGAAGCCATAAGAAGTGGCTGCACGAAGAACATGCCGGCTTTGTGCAGGAAAGTAAGCCAGTTGGCTGGAAAGGAAGATGAAGAAGCAGAGAGAGAGAAAAAATGAAAGTAATAAGATAAAAACCACAGGGCCTCCGAGTATAGTGGATGCTGACCAAGTGGGTGAGTGGGAGCTGGAATTCAAGCCACCTAGAAGAAGGGGCTACTTTTCTTTGTAAAAACTCTCCTTGCCTAGCTGTATCCCAAAGGGATGCCTTTTTCTGATTCAGACAGAGGCTAGCTGCAGCCCTCAAAGCCAGATAGTGGATGGCCCTGGATTCTGCTCCTTGGACACTAAGAAACTCTGAGTGGTGTTGAGTAAGATGACATCCACCTTGGAGCAGGGATGATATGGCAGAAATGCCAGTGTATAGAGTGAACAAGGAAACCAGACTCAAGAGCTACTCTGAGAGTCCAGGCATATTCTGACTTTGAGAGAGCAAGAAGGAAAAAAAATGGAAGAATAAAGACCATGTGTTATATAAGAACTGGAAATGATTCTGTGTTTGAGCTCGTCAGGGTGCCCAGGTGAGCAGGGTTCTCTGAGATGCCAAGGAGAGTGGCGGTACTGCTTTGACACCTCTGTAATAAGCCTTTTGTAGTCAGCGGCTGTCTTACTGGTCTTTAGGTCTCCAGAAGTTTGCACAGTGCCTAGATCATCATATAATTTCTTGAGACAAGTTTGCTTGATAAAGGAATTAACAGAAACAGAGAACTCTTCCCCTCTCAGTCTGCAGCTCAAATATCTCCACTTTGGGGAGCCTGTACAGATGCCCTCAGATTCTACAGCACACTCAGGACACTTTTTTCAAACTGAATTAGAGTACTAGACAGACCTGTAACTGTCTGCTTACCTGGTTCTCTCCCTGGAAAATTCCTCAAGGACAGGGGCCATATATATCTAGTGCCTGATGGCACTCAAATGCTTGTTGAATGAGTAAATAAATGGTTGAAGATGGGAGAAAATCAGTTAACAACAACAACAACAACAGCAAGGTTTAGATATGTTGGTTTAGGTTGTTCTCACCAGGAATGTCCAGCCTACCATGAGAAGTACAGGCCTCTTATGATGAAAATATGATTCTTCTCTAGAAGAGATGATAGGTGAAGTTACTCTGGATAGGAACTCAGAATGGAGAAGTGTATAGAAAAGAAAGAGCTGGAGACTTTGTACCTCAAAATCAAACCAGTACTCTTAGTTGCTTAAATACAAGTTGTAGGTACTACCGGATAACCTGGGAGTATTTTAAAAGGTTTAATTTTGCCACTGAACATGTAATGAATTTCTAATTTAGATAGAGACAGTTAAAGAGCCCTTTTCTCTGAGGTAACTTCACAGTCCTTTCCAGATATTGTCATTCATCCATTTATTCAGTATTTATTGAGCATTTATTATGTACTGGATCTTGTGTGATGAAATGTTAGTTAAATATTCTCAGGCTATCATGTCGTCCTCAGAGGTTATCAGTATTACTAATGACAGGTATGTGTGTATGTGTATATACTGGTACATATAGTGTATTCATTTTGTAACCTACTTTTTCCAATTTCTTTTTACTTCATTAATGGGGGGGGGGTGGGTGTTGTGCCAGGAAGCTTGGAGTTCTAACCATTGGACCGCCAGAGAATTCCCATACTTCATTAAATATTTTCTACCACAATTTCACCAACAGCCTTCGCTGGTTTTAGACCCACCCACCCTCTCACTGAGCTGTATGTTGGCCATAATAAGGGATTGCTTGGCCTCTGAAAGCTGGAATTTGGCTCAGTGGACTTGCAGGCCCGCCCAAGTACCCCCCACATTCCTGTCTGGCTCCCAGTCTGTGGGACCCTCAAAGTACCACTGGCTTCCTCTTAATAGACACTTCCATTCCCAGGACCACAATGACAGGGGAAAGTTCCAGCAGGCAGACTGGAAGGGCCCAGGCACTGTCACAGGAGGGGGTGAGCACACACTCCCGGAGCAGAGTCAGGTTTCAGAGCCCAGTACACAGCGTGGCTCCTCACGGCCAGGGGAGCCAGAAGCTGGTGAGTGCGGTTCCGTGGGAAATCTGAACGCTGGGAGCTCAGCGGCCCGGCAATCTTACCAAGGCCTCAAGAGAATGTTTTGTTTCCAGAGAAATCTGAAGGCAAATCTGCCATCCTAAAGTAATAGTTTTAGGTTTGCAGAATCAGCTTGACCACCTCTACTCAATTCATTAGAATCTAAACATCTCAGAGCTCTGGGTGGAATGAAAGGATCTCTAACTGCCATATAGTGAAGGAGAAAACAAGACAGAGATTGAGGCTGCCGAGGGAATTAGGCACCACTGAACCTTTGGAAAGCTAGCAGTTTTTCTCTCACCTAGTTTTTCTCTAAGCCTAAACCTTAAGAGGTAGAATGGTCGGTTTCATTACAAAATAAATATCCACCTCGCTTTGGCCTTCAGAGTCAGGTAGATGTTTTTAATCACTCTGTGCAGACGATATAATGAAACTGCTAACACAGTACTAAGGCTTGGTCACAGCATCAGTATTATCCTCTAGGGACGTAGAGGAGCTCGTCTACCCAGTGGATCTACCTGAGTCAGCCACTACCCTTAGACCCTGATCTTTTGCGGTTGGTTTGAGCTCTCCATCTTTTTCCTTTTGGGTTTCCTAAATATCTATCTCCTGGGAATTGTGGGAAATGACTGCTGAGC